ATCTGCTTTCTGGCTCTGTGGTTTTGGCTTTTCCACAAAATGATATAATTAGAGGAAGACAGTATATAATCTTTTGAATCTGGCTTTATTTACTTAGTGTAATACATTTGAGATTCATATATATTGTTGTGTGTATCAATAAATTTTTTATTGCTGAGTTGTATTCCATTTTATGACGGTACCATGGTTTGCTTATCCAGTTCCCAATTAAGGGGCATGTGGGTTGTTTCCTATTTTAAACAGTGGCAAATAAAGCCACTATAAATGTTTTTGTGCAGATTTTATGTGAACATAAATTTTTATTTCCATTCAATAATTACAAAAGTAGTAGGATTAGTTGGTCATATGGGAAGTGTATGTTTAACTTAATGAGAAGCTTCCAAACTGTTTTCCAAAGTAGTTGTATCATTTTGCATATCTATCAGTGATGTGTGAGAGCTCCAGCCACTCTGCGTCCTTGCCGTTACATGGTATTGTCAGTATTTTTGACTTTACCTCCTCTAAAATATCTCATTGTTATTTTAATTTGCATTTCCCTAATAAATGATGACATTGATCATCTTTCATGTGTTTCTTGGGAGAAGTATCTGTTCGGAATTTTTGTCCATTAAAAAATTGGATTATTTGTCTTCTTATTATTGACTTCTGAGATTTTAAAAATATACCCTGAGTACAAGTCCTTTGTCTAATATGTGATTTTCACATATTTTCTCCCAGTCTGTAGCTTCTTTTTAATTTTCTCAGCAGTGTATTTTGAAGAGCACTTTTTGACTTTGATAAAATCCAGTTATCAGCTTCTTTTATGGATTATACTTTTGATATTGTATCTAAGAAATATTTGCCTAACTCAAGACCACAAAGATTTTCTTCTATATTTCTTTTAAAAAATTTTACAGTTTTAAGTTTTACACTTAGTTCTGTGATTCACTTTGAGTTAATGTTTATTTATGGTAAAGGATGGGTTTTTGTTTTGTTGTTGTTTTCAGTCACTGAGTTGTGTCTGACTCTGCAACCCCATGGACTACAACTCACCAGGTTCCTCTGTCCTCCACTGTGTCCCAGAGGTTGCTCAAATTTGTGTCCATGGAGTTTGTGATGTTATCTAACCATCTTGTTTTCTGCATCCTGCTTCTCCTTTGGTCTTCAATCTTTCAATGGGATCTTTTCGAGTGAGTCAGCTTTTCACATCAGGTGGCCAAAGTATTGGAGCTTCAGCATCCAATCCTTCCAATGAATATTCAGGATTGATTTCCTTTAGGATTGACTGGTTTGGTTTCTTTGCAGTCCAGGGGACTTTCAAGAGTACTCTCCAACACTACAGTTCAAAAGCATAAATTCTTCAGCACTCAGCCTTCTTTAGGGTCCAACTCTCATATCCGTACATGACTACTGGAAAAACCATAGCTTTGACTATACAGCCTTTTGACGGCAAAGTGATGTCTCTGCTTTTTAATATTCTGTCTAGGTTTGTCAAAGCTTTCCTTCCAAGGAGCAAGCATCTTTTAATTTCATGGCTGCAATCACCATGCACAGTGATTTTGTAGTCCAAACAAATAGAATCTGTCATGGTTTTCCCTTTTTCCCCCTCTCTTTGTCATGAAGTGATAGGACTGTGTTCCATGATCTGAGTTTTTTGAATATTGAATTTCAAGTCAGCTTTCTCACTCTTCTCTTTCACACTCTCAAGGGGCTCATTAGTTCCTCTCTAGTTTCTGCCTTTAAGCAGACTTTTACATATTGACACCCTGTTATTCTGGCACCATTTATTAAAAAGACTGACCTTTTTTCCCCCATGAAGTTACTTTTACACCTTTGTCAGAAATCAGCTGGCAATATATACTCAGTTCTGTTATCAGTTCAGTCGCTCAGTTGTGTCTGACTCTGCAACCTCATGGACTGCAGTGCACCGGGCTTCCCTGTCCATCACCAACTCCCAGAGCTTACTCAAACTCATGTCCATCAAGTCGGTGATGACTTCCAACCATCTCATCCTCTATCATCCCCTTCTCTTCCTGCCTTCAAACTTTCCCAGCATCAGGGTCTTTTCCAGTGAGTGAGTTCTTTGCATCAGGTGGCCAAATTATTGGAGTTTCAGCTTTAGCATCAGTCGTTCCAATGAATGTTCAGGGTTGCTTTCTTTAGGATTGACTGGTTGGATCTCCTTGCAGTTCAAGGGACTCTCAAGAGTCTTCTCCAACACCACTCTTCAAAAGCGTCAATCTTTTGGTGCTTAGCTTTTTTATGGTCCAGCTCTCACATGCATATATAACCCGTGAAAAAACCATAGCTTTGACTAGGTGAACCTTTGTCAGCAAAGTAATATCTCTGCTTTTTAATATGGTATCTAGAGTTGTCATAGCTTTTCTTCCAAACAGCAAGCATCTTTTAATTTCATGGGTGCAGTCACCATCTACAGTGATTTTGGCTTCAACAGTATGTGAACTTAAAGCTTCCAGGTGTTCAAGCTTAATTTAGAAACGACAGGAACCAGAGATCAAATTGCCAACATCTGCTGGATCATAGAAAAAGCAAGAGAATTCCAGGAAAACATCTACTTCTGCTTCATTGACTATGCTAAAGCCTTATTGTGTGGATCACAACAAACCGTGGAAAATTCTTAAAGAGATGGGAATACCAGATCACCTGACCTGCCTCCTGAGAAAAGTGTATTCAGGTCAAGAAGCAGCAGTTAGAACAAGACATGGAACAATGGACTGGTTCCAAATTGGGAAAGGAGTACATCAAGGCTGTATATTGTCACCCTGCTTATTTATCTTATATGCAGAGTATATCATGCATAATGTCTGACTGGATGAATCACAAGCTGGAATCAAGATTGCAGGGAGAAATATCAATAACCTCAGATTTGGAGATGATACCACCCTTTATGGCAGAGAGCGAAGAGGAACTAAAGAGCCTCTTGATTGAGGTGAAAGAAGAGAGTGAAAAACCTGGCTTAAAACTCAGCATTCAAAAAATGAAGAACATGGCACCTTGTCCTGTCACTTCATGGAAGATAGATGGGGAAACAATGGAAACAGTGACAGAGTTTATTTTCTCAGTCTCCAAAATCACTGCAGATGGTGACTGCAGCCATGAAATTAAAAGACACCGGCTCCTTGGAAGAAAAGCTATGACAAATCTAGACACCGTATTTAGAAACAGAGACATTTCTTTGCCGACCAAGGTCTATATGGTCAAAGCTCTGGTTTTTCCAGGAGTCATGTATGGATGGGAGAGCTGGACCATAAGGAAGGTTGAGGGCCAGAAAAGTCATGCTTTTGAACTGTGGTGTTGGAGAAGACTCCTGAGAGGCCCTTGGACTGCAAGGAAATCAAACCAGTCAATCCTAATGTAAATCAACCCTGAATATTCATTGCAAAGACTGATGCTGAAGCTGAAGCTCCAGTACTTGGCCACCTGATGCGAAGAGCTGACTCATTAACAAAGACCCTTATGCTAAGAAAGATTGAAGACAGGAGAAGGGGACCACACAGGATGTGATGGTTGGATGCCATCACCAACTTGATGGACATGAGTTTGAGCAAGCTTCAGGAAATGGTGAAGGACAGGGAAGCCTGGAGTGCTGTAGTCAATGGGGTCCTCAGAGTCGGACATGACTGAGTGACTGAACAACAATAAATATGGTATATTACCTTGTAAAAAATCTTGACATTTGCTTGTAGAATGGGCATCAGAAAGATTGCAGATTGTACATTGTTGTGAAAAGGTGGAAGGTAAATTATCTGGAATTGGGAGTTCTAATGCTGTAGGTGAACAGGAGTAGCTCATAACACATGTGATATGCCGATGTTCATGTATGTATTTCTGCTTGGCTCAGTTTAACTAGGTACAGTTTTCTAGTGTTTCACCCAGTGTTTCTTGTGGATAAAATTGCACATAAACCAACCTGAAAAATTAAATTCATGTTATAATCACCAAGCGAATTCTAGTAGTAAATATTAGTTTTGTCAGAAAATAGTACAGCAAAGGACCTTTGTGGAATGGTGTAAATCTCTGAAATGTAACAGTAAAGTATAAATTATGTTGCAACAGATTTGCACTTTTAAGACAAGCATCATAGCAGAACTAACTATGTATGTCAGTTCTCCAGTATAACACTGTCTTGATTACTATAGTTTTATAATAAATATTGAAAGTCAGGTAGTATGATTCCTTGAATTTACTTTTTTTTTCAAATTTTTCGGCTATTCTGTTTCCTTTGTCTTTTTATATAAATTTTAAATTCAGCTTGTTGATTTTTAGAAAAAAAATCTTGCTGAGATTTTTATTAATGTTTCATTGACTTTGAAGATCAGTTTTGGGAGAGTCGACATCTTTAACAACATTGACTCTTCCAAACTGTAACCAATATCTCTCTCCATTTACTTAGATCTACTCTGATTCCTTTCATTGGTGTTTATAGTTTTTATCATGCTGATCTTGTGTATACATACTTTGTATATTTTTATCTATGGGATTTAATGTGAGTTTTTGGTGGTATTACAAATAGGACTTTTAAAATTTCACCTTTCCATTTTTTACTGTAAGTATATGGAAATAAGATTGATTTTTATGTACCTTTAGCTCTTTGAAGACCAGAAGCAAAAATGGAAGTTCTCCAATGTCAAAGCAAAATTTGCTTTTCTAATATTTGCAAGTTAGAATCTCTTTTTTGTCTTAGTCTATTTTAAAAATCAAATCACTATAACAGTGTTAACTTAATTGTTTTCTTTTTAAAGTTGTTGAATCATATTCTAATATAGACATGAAAACATGTATTTTTAGGATGAGGTTTAATTGCACAATTTTAAACGTTCTGATAGAGTATTGTAAAATACAAGCTTTTCTCCATGCTTTCCGTTAACTGGTCTCACAAGAGCTTTCTTAATGGTAATCACAGGCCATCTGTGAATACATTTAATTCATAGTTTTGTTTCTTTTGGTATTTTCTAGTTTCTGAAAATCTTCAGATTTATTTTTGTGCAATATTGTTATAGATTTTGGACTCAGCAAGGAATCAGTAGATCAAGAGAAGAAGGCCTACTCATTTTGTGGTACAGTGGAGTATATGGCTCCTGAAGTAGTAAATAGGAGAGGTCATTCCCAAAGTGCTGATTGGTGGTCATATGGTGTACTTATGGTAAGTAGTATTTTTAAAATTATGTCAATATAAATTAAATATTGTTTAGAATTTTAATCTGAGTGTTGGAATGTGTTTGCTAAGAATAGGGTTTTAAAAGTTTGTGATTGTTTTTAAAGAATTTGTGATTGGCTAGCTGTCATATAATAAGAATTAGGGTTTTGGTGTTCTGATTTCTTTTAAAGTTGCTTGATTAAAAGGCAAACGGCAGCATTCTTTTTTTTATATATAAGTTATTCAAATTTAAAAATTAGGAAAAAACCTGTTAGATTTTAGATTTCAGAATACTGTGTTTAGTAGTATATAATATTTTAATTAGGTATCATAGAATTTAGCACCTGTTTACTATCTTATTGTCACATTATTTTAAGCATGTCTGTAGAAAGATTATAAACCTCTTAAGGAAAGCAATCCTGTCTTCTTGTTCTACTTTTCCACAATATCTAGTATATTGAGAATCTAGACTGACTAATTTGGTATAAGATTAATCACAGAGTTTGTAGTGTTAAGTAGGGCAATAAATGAATAGCTATTGAATGAGATACAGTTTGCTGTAGAAACTTGATAATCCATTTTTACCTATTTATCACTGAATTACTATACGATTTATCAGTATATTAAGTGGCTATTATAAGCCTGACATTTGGTAAGGGCAGTGGATTGGGAACAGTCTGGAAGTACAATATTTGACATTTTCCTTGGCCTAAGAAGACATGCCATCTGGTTGGGGAAACAAATGTAATAGCTAAGTAAATTGTCTGGAAGTACTTTAGGAGTTCAAACAAGAATTCATTCAAGTTGATATAGGGAAAGCAGAGGAGACAGAACTTAAATTAAGCCCTGAAGGATGGATAAAATTCAGATAACTGTGTCTCAAGGATAATATTGTGATAATATTAGGAAAGACCTGGAGAACCAATTTAACTAGAGCAGTAGTAGAGAATGAGGGTGAAGGTGGAGGAAATGAAGCTATAAGCCTATAAGCATTTGTATGCTATTTTCTGAGTGGTAAACTTTTGTGAAGTCTTAAGCAGGATGGTAGTTAGAGAAAAAATGTATTTTAAGATTAGCCTTGGTAGCATTATGTATATGGATTGCAAATGGAGGAAACTAAAAGTAGGAAGACCAAGAAGTTCTCCTTGCAAGACAGTTGTAAGATTACAAAATAAAAAAGGAAATCTTCAAGACATTTCAAAGGTAGACATAACTGACCTTAGTAGCAGATTAAATGTCACAGATAAAGCAGAGGGAAAGGGTTAAAGACAAAGATACCTTTAAAACTTTAGGGGATTGAAAGAGTTCAGTAGAAAAGATAGTTGGGAAGGATAGCTGATATTGAAGATGAGGAAAGAACTTATTTTTAACATGTTGCATAGGTTACTCTGGGTTCATATTTAACCCCTCGATAGTAATGAATTAGGAGAGGGCAGTGGAGAGAGCATCAGAATCATCTGAAGACCTTAAATGAACAAAGAAGAAAGAAACACAAACAACAAACAACTACTCTGCCAGCCAGTATATAGTTTTTTTGAGGGGAAAGTGTGATTCCAATATATTGTCCTTCTCTTTTCCTTTTTGTTCTTTCTGTTTCCACCTCTTAATTCTCCAGTCCCTGGGACAGAACCATTACTTTAGGTTTGGAGGCAGGGGGCTGGAACTTGAGAGAGATGATTCCCATACACCATATTCCCTTCTTCATTCCCTTTCTATGACTCCTACCCCTATCACGTCAGTCTTCAGTTGAGAAACATTACTGTAAATTTGGAAGGGAAAGCTGGGAATTGAAGGAGATTGAAACTGGAACCAATTTGTGAGTCATCAGTCATCAAGAGAGAGTTGAATGGATAACCTAACTCAAGTTTTAAGTTCAGTGTCAACAGAGGACTGAGGCCAAACCCATTATTGAATCTCAGCTTCAAATTTAAATATTAGGGATATAAAAACTTTTCTCTTTAATGAGCTTCATTTTCAGATCTTTCTTTTTCCAATAGAATTACTTTTTAAAATACCATACTTTAATGTTCTAGTTATCTGCATTGCAGTTAACTCTCTTTAGGGAAAATATTTTCATTATGCCATGTACAAATTGAAATGGCTCAGTGCTTATTTTTACTTTTCTTTCATTATTAAATGTTTTCTTTAAAAGCTTATCTATGTTTTAAAAGATAATGCCTCTTGTCTGGGGCTTCCCAGATGGCTCAGTGGTAAAGAATCCACCTGCCAATGCAGGAACTGCAGGAGACAAGGGTTTGATCCCTGGCTCAGGAAGATCCCCTGGAGGGGAAATGGCAACCCACTCCAGTATTCTTGCCTAGAGAATCGTATGGACAGAGAAGCATGGCTGGTTCCAGTCCATGGGCTCACGAAAAGTTGAACATGACTGAGCATGCACACCTTGTGTGTATTTCCACATTGCTTTGGTTTGGGAAATTTAGCCAAATTAGGACTGAAATAATGGTTGGTTTCATTTACTATGTGTCATCTCTCTTTTAGGCTATGTATTGTGGGGTATCAGAGGTGTATTTCCTTAAGTGACCTAGTTTTCTAGTCCTTTTTGATTGCTATCATATAGATCCTGCATGATTTGATGATCACATTTTACAAATCTCAGTTTTTTTCCTAAAGAATTTCTTTGTATATTCCAAGTTGTGCTAAACTTGTGTTATTTTGTGTTTATGTGTTTTAGTTTGAAATGCTTACTGGTACTCTGCCATTTCAAGGTAAAGACAGAAATGAGACCATGAATATGATATTAAAGTAAGTGAAAACATTTTTTTTTTCTTTGGGGAAAAATTCCTTGCTTTCAGTTTTGACAAACTTGTTATAGTTTTCATTTGACACAAAAGAACACTTTCACACTGACTCATTCCCTTTCACCTTACAGGGGATATTATTTGCCATTGTGAAAGTGGTCATTAATTTTTTTAAAAATTTTTCAGTTTAGAAGTATAACTAGATTTAAATGAAATTTTCTGAAATCTTCTTTTCCAGAGCAAAACTTGGAATGCCTCAGTTTCTTAGTGCTGAAGCACAAAGTCTTCTAAGGATGCTATTCAAAAGGAATCCAGCAAATAGATTGGGTATTGTTTATTTTCTTAGGTTTTATAACAAAATACTGGGAGGTATAATTATATTGGGAAGATAATTATAACTTTATGTTTTCTGGCTTAACTTCATTTACTGCTGCAATATATTTATACCTAGATTTTTACATTTTATGTATGCAAAGATTCCAGTAATCTGTTATATTTGTGGTTAAAAAATGAAGTAGTCTAGTTATGCAAAACATATTTAATATATATCATATAATTATGTGTATCATATCAGTGTCTCTTTTGACATAATTCACAACTTCTCCCTTGTATAGAAAAATCATTTTTTATATTTGAAGATAATTATTTTGTTCCTTCTGTTTTTCATGAAGATAAATATTATGTTTCCGTAACTACTCATTATTTGGCTACTTTCTTGTAGTCTTTCCCTGTATCCAAATGTGATTCTATTATCCTGTTTATGCCCATGTGTTGAAATTTCAAAGTCACTTTATTCATTGCATTTTTAATTTGATATATAAATAGGAGGTCATAAGTTGAATTATGAAGAAAATAAAACTACTTAAATATGTCTTAATATTTTTAACTACTTAAAGTTTAACATGTTAAACATGATTTTTATTTGATTCAGAAGGCATTTAAGTTATTTCATGATACCCTATGTGCTTCAGCATGAACACCAGCTATTTTTTATCATATTAAATTCAAAGGACCAATTAATAAAACATCAGATAAGAAATCATAAACTTTTCACTGCAAGAAATCTATAAACTATGTGTACTCCTGTTTTACAGATAACAATCTGGAGGCCAAGTAACCAGATTTTAAAAAATCAGACTGGTAAAAGAATTCTTTCTATTTTTGTAGGTTCAGAAGGAGTTGATGAAATCAAAAGACATCTTTTTTTTGCAAATATTGACTGGAATGTAAGTAGAGTAGAAAGTGTATTACTGAATACCTTTAAGAAGAGCAAAAACTCAAGAGTAAATGGTAATATGTGGACTTTGGTGATAAACTTAATCCATTTGTTTCATATTTTAGTTTGAGATTTTTATTTACAAGTATAGCTTATCATACAGTTACCTTGAACCAGCAGATGCATGTATGTATGATATATAGTAAATTTTTGTTTTTCATTTGTCTTACCTGTTAAGTATGGTTAATATTCTCTTCTATTCTAGGTTGAAGAATATGGGGGAGGGAGAAAAAGGAGAAAGGGGATGAATGAAAGGGCAGATTCTTATAGAAAAAAATGAATTGTAAAGAATCTAAGATATTATTTAAAAAATAATTTAAGATGTTATTTAATTTCAAATGATCCTTTGTCATGTATTAGAACAATTTAAATTTGCTAAGAAGTAAAAATCTTTGTATAGTTATTTCACTAAATTTTGAGAGGGCATGAAAACAAAAACAGTGAAATTCTGCCAAGTCACTTATTGAATTTTTTAAGTTGCAACTCCCGGACTAGTGAGCTTTTCACTTTTTCTTATTGTCGTTTCCAACACAGCTTTATGTATTTTAGGTACTATTAATCATCATAGGTAAGCATTTTTGATAATTTACTTCTGACATTGATAGTGAAAATTATCCCCAAAGAAAACATATCTCTTTTGATTTCTAAGGCAGACACAGAGAGCCACTATTCACTGACCAAATTATCATTTCATCTGGCTTGTAAAACAAGTTTCAATAGCCTGATATTTTTATTTAATAGTTTTAAAACTGCAACATAACATAAGCTGTTAGCATTAATAACCTGAAAGGCCTTATAATGAACATGGGAATTGCATTACATTTGTCTTACCTGTGTGCATTCCTCTTTCAGTATTCTTGCATTCCCTTGTCATTTTTTTCTAATGCTTCTCTACTCTTCCTTTTTCCTTAACTAGAAAAGCTAGAAATTAATTTCCATTATTTTTATATCTAAAGTTTATTGCTCTTAAATAAAAAGCGAGCAGAATGTTTATGTATTTGAATAAATGAAAATTACTTTTCTATAAAGTGAAAGTAGGTTTATTGAGAGAGAGAAACGTTCCATAGGCAGAATGCAGTCTGTCTTAGAAGGCAAGAGCAACCTTTTTTTTAAGGTTCTGCATATGAGTGAGATCTGCAGTATTTGTCTTACTCTGTCTGACTCATTTCTTCTTAATTCATCCTTCTGTTGATGGACACAGGTTATTTCCATGTCTTGGGTATTGTGAATAATATTGCAATAAACATGGTGGTACAGATGTCTTTTGAGATAGTGACATTGTCTTTTGAAAAACAGATATTGTTATTTATTTTTTGTATCTTTTTAAATTAATTTTTACTTGAATATAGTTGTTTTATAATGTTGTGTTTCTGCTGTACAGCGAAGTGAATCAGCTATGCATCCCCTCATCTTTGGATTTCCTTCCCATATAGGTCACCACAGAGCATTAGGTAGAGTTCCCTGTGCTTTACAGAAGGTCCTCATTAGTTATCTATTTATACATAATAGTGTATACCTGTCAATCTCAAATCTCAAGGTTCATTATACCTTTCCCCTTACCCCCTTGGTATCCATACATTTGTTCTCTGTGTCTGTCTTTATTTCTGCTTTGCAGATAAGTTCACCTATACCATTCTTCTAGATTCCACATATAAGAGATACTAAAGGATATTTGTCTTTCTCTTTCTGACTTAACTTCACTGTGTTTGAAAGTCTCTAGGTCTATTCACATCTCTGCAAAAGATAATTTCATTCTATTTTATGACTGAGTAATATTCCATTATTATATATGTAGCATATATTCTTTATCCATTCCTATGCTGATGGACATTTAGGTTGCTTCTGTGTCCTGGCTATTGTAAATAGTGCTGTGGTGAACATTGGGGTACATGTATCTTTTTTAATTATGTTTTTTTCTGCATATATACCCAGTAGTGAGATTTCTGGAGAAGGCAAAGGCAACCCACTCCAGTACTCTTGCCTGGAAAATCCCATGGATGGAGGAGCCTGGTAGGCTACAGTCCATGTGGTCACGAAGAGTTAGACACAACTGAGCGACTTCACTTTCACTTCCATGCGTTGGAGTAGGAAATGGCAATCCACTCCAGTGTTCTTGCCTGGAGAATCCCAGGGAGGGGGAAGCCTGGTGCGCTGCCGTCTATGGAGTCACACAAAGTCGGATACGACTGACGTGACTTAGCAGCAGCAGCAGTGAGATTTCTGGGTCATATGGCAGTTCTATTTTTAGTTTTTCAAGGTACCTCCATTCTGTTATCCATAGTGGCTCTATGAGTTTATATTCCCACCAATAATGTAGGAGGTTTCCCTTTGCTCCATATCCCTCCAGCATTTATTGTTTGTAGATTTCTTTTGATAAAGGCCATGATGGCCATTCTCACTGGTGTGAGGTGGTAGTTCATTGTATTTTTAATTTGCATTTCTCTAATAATTAGTGATTTTGATCATCTTTTCATGTGCCTCATTGGCCATCTGTATGTCTTCTTTTAAGAAATGTCTACTTAGATCTTCCACTCATTTTTTGATTGGATTTTTTTATATTGATCTGCATGAAGTACTTGTATATTTTAGAGATTAATTCCTTGTCAGTTGTTTCACTTGCAAATATTTAATCCCATTCTGAGAGTTGTCTTTTCATCTTGCTTATGATTTCCTTTGCTGTGTAGAAACTTTTAAGTTTAATTAGGTCTCATTTGTTCATTTTTTTTCATTACTCTAGGAGGTGGGGCAAAAAAATTTTGCTGCAGTTTATGTCAAAGAGTGGTTTTCCTACATTTTCTTCTAACAGTTTTATAGGATCCAGCCTTTCATTTTGGTCTTTAATACATTTTGAGTTTTGTTTTGTTTTTTTCTGTTTAAATAATTTTATTTATTTTTGGCTGTGCTAGGTCTTCTTTGCTGCACGGGCTTTTCTCTAGTTGTGGGGAGCAGTGACCACTCTTTAGTTGTGGTGCTTGGGCTTCTCACTGCAGTGGTTTCTGTTTTTGTGGAACATGGGCTCTAGGTGCATGGGCTTCAGTCATTGTGCCTCCCCAGATCTAGAGCACAGGCTCAGTAGTTGTGGCACAGGGATTTTGTAGCTTTAGAGAATGTGGGATCTTCCCAGAGCAGGGTTCCAACCTATTTCTCCTGCATTGGCAGGCAAATTCTTTACTACTGAGCCATGAGAGAACCCCGAGTTTATTTTTTTGTATGGTGTTAGGCAGTGTTCTAATTTCATTTGTTTGCATGTAACTGTCCAGTTATCCCCACACCATGATTTTTGCTGTTGTTGTTTTTTGTTTGATTTTTAGATTTGAAAATTAGGAGGGGAGTTTGGGGGAGAATGGATACATGTATATGTATGGCTGAGTCCCTTTGCTGTCCACCTGATACTGTCACAAGGGTGATAATCAGCTATGCTCCAGTAAAAAAAAAAAAAAAAAAGTTTAAGTAAAATGTAAAAGGGAGAATCCTATCTTCACACCACTTATTGGAAAGACTGCCTTTTCTCCTCTGTCTTCTTTGTCACAGATTAGGTGACCATATGTACATGCATTTATTTCTGTTCTTTCTATGCTATTCCTTTCATGTATATTTCCAATTTTGTGCCTTTATCATACTGTCTTGAACTGTAGCTTCGTAGTGTAGTTTCAAGTCAGGAAGCCTGATTCTTCCAACTTTAGTTTTCTTTCTCAAGATTGCTTTGGCTATTTGGAGTCTTTTTGTTTCCATCAGTCAGTTCCCTCACTCATTCATGTCCAACTCTTTCTGACCCCATGGACTTCAGCATGCCAGGCTTACCTGTCCATCACCAACTCCCGAAGCTTGCTCAAATTCATGTCTGTCAAGTCGGTGATGCCATCCAACCATCTCATCCTCTGTTGTCCCCTCCTCCTACCTTCAATCTTTCCCAGCATCAGGGTCTTTTCCAATGAGTCAGTTCTTCACATCAGGTGGTGAAAGTATTGGAGTTTCAGCTTCAGCATCAGTCCTTCCAATGAATATTCAGGACTGATATCCTTTAGAATGGACTGGTTTGATCTCCTTGCAGTCCAAGGGATTCCAAGAGACTTCTTCAACACCACAGTTCAAAAGAATCAATTCTTTGGCACTCAGCTTTCTTTCTTTCTTTTTTTTTTTTTTCTTCATTTATTTTTATTATTTGGAGGCTAATTACTTTACAATATTGTAGTGATTTTTGCCATACATTGACATGAATCAGCCAGGGATTTACATGTTTTCCCCATCCTGATCCCCCCTCCCACCTCCTTCCCCATCCCATCCCTCTGCGTCTTCCCAGTGCACCAGCCCTGAGCATTTGTCTCATGCATCCAGCCTGGGCTGGCGATCTGTTTCACACTTGATAATATACATGTTTCAATGCTCCAACTCTCACATCCATACATGACTACTGGAAAAACCATAGCTTTGACTAGATGGACCTTTGTCTGCAAAGTAATGTCCCTGCTTTTTAATATACTGTCTAGGTTGGTCATATCTTTTCTTCCAAGGAGCAAGTGTCTTAATTTCATGGCCACAGCCACCATCTGCAGTGATTTTGGAGCCCCAAAAATATAAAGTCTGTCACTGTTTCAACTTTTTCACTCTCTTCTTTCACTTTCATCAAGAGGCTCTTTAGTTCTACTTTGTTTTCTGTCAAAAGGGTGGTGTCATCTGTGTATCTGAGGTGACTGATACTTCTCCTAGCAATCTTGATTCCAGTATGTGCTTCATCCAGCCCAGCATTTCGCATGATATACTCTTCATATAAGTTAAATAAGCAGGGTGACAATATACAACCTCGATGTATTCCTTTCCTGATTTGGAACCAGTTGGTTGTTCCATGTCTAGTTCTAACTGTTGCTTCCTAACCTGCATACAGATTTCTCAGGAGGCAGGTCAGGTGGTCTGGTATTCCCATCTCTTTCAGAATTTTCCACATTTTATTGTGATCCACAGAGTCAAAGGTTTTGGTATAGTCAATAAAGCAGAAGTATATGTTTTTCTGTAATTCTCTTGCTTTTTTGATGATCCAACTGATGTTGGCAATTTGATCTCTGGTTCCTCTGCCTTTTCTACATCTAGCTTGAACATCTGGAAGTTAATGGTTCATGTACTGTTGAAGCCTCTTTTGGAGAATTTTGAGCATTACTTTGCTAGTGTGTGAGATCAGTGCAATTTTGTGGTAGTTTGAACATTCTTTGGCATTACCTTTCTTTGGGATTGGAACAAAAACTGACCTTTTCCAGTCCTGTGGCACTGCTGAGATTTCCATATTTGCTGTCATATTTAGGGCAGCACTTTCACAGCATCATCTTTTAGGATTTGAAATAGCTCAACTGGAATCCCATCACCTCCACTAGCTTGTTCGTAGTTATGCTTCCTAAGACCCACTTGATTCCAGGATGTCTTGCCCTAGGTAAGTGATCACACCATCGTTGTTATCTGAGTCATGAAGATCTTTTTTGTATAGTTCTTCTGTGTATTCTGCCACCTCTTCCTAATATCTTCTGCTTCTGTTAGGTCCATGCCATTTCTGTCCTTTATTGTGCCCATCCTTGGGTGAAATGTTCCCTTCGTATCTCTGATTTTCTTGAAGAGATCTCTAAATCTTTTTCATTTTGTTGTTTCCCTCTACTTCTTTGCATTGATCACTTAGGAAGGCTTTCTTATCTCTGCTTGCTATTCTTTGGAACTCTGCATTCAAATGGGTATATCTTTTCTTTTTTTCCTTTGCTTTTTGCTTCTCTTCTTTTCTCAGCTATTTGTAAGGCCTCCTGAGACCACCACTGATCCTTTTTGCATTTCTTTTTCTTGAGGATGGTCTTGATCACTGTTTCCTGTACAATGTCTCAAACCTCTGTCCATAGTACTTTAGGCACTCTATCTATCTGATCTAATTCCTTGAATCATTTGTCACTTCCACTGTACAATCACAAGGGATTTGATTTAGGTCATACCTGAATGGTATAGTGGTTTTCCCTACCTGCTTCAATTTAAGTCTGAATTTTGCAATAATTAGAACTGCCATATGACCCAGCAATCCCACTTCTGGGCATACACACTGAGGAAACCAGAAATGAAAGAGACACGTGCACCCCAATGTTCATCGCAGCACTGTTTATAATAGCCAGGACATGGAAGCAACCTAGATGCCCATCAGCAGACGAATGGATAAGGAAGCTGTGGTACATATACACCATGGAATATTACTCAGCCATTAAAAAGAATTCATTTGAATCAGTTCTAATGAGATGGATGAAACTGGAGCCCATTTATACAGAGTGAAGTAAGCCAGAAAGATAAAGACCAATACAGTATACTAATGCATATATATGAAATTTAGAAAGATGGTAACAATAACCCTATATGCAAAACAGAAAAAGAGACACAGATGTACAGAACAGACTTTTGGACTCTGTGGGAGAAGGCGAAGGTGGGATGTTTAGAGAGAACAGCATCGAAACATGTATATTATCTAGGGTGAAACAGATCACCAGCCCAGGTTGGATGCATGAGATAAGTGCTCGGGCCTGATACACTGAGAAGACACAGAGGAATCGGGTGGAGAGGGAGGTGGGAGCAGGGATCGGGATGGGGAATACATGTAAATCATGACTGATTCATGTCACTGTATGACAAAAACCACTGCAATATTGTAAAGTAATTAGCCTCCAACTAATAAAAATAAATGAAAAAAAAAAAAAAAAGAAATTCATGACCTGGGCCACAGTCAGCTCCCGGTCTTGTTTTTGCTGACTGTATAGAGCTTCTCCATCTTTGGCTGCAAAGAATATAATCAATACTTTGTATTTATTTGTTTCCACACATATTATAAAATATTTTGTTCTAATTCTGTGAAAAATGCCCTTGGCAATTTGATAGGGATTGTATTGAATCTGTAGATTAGTTTGGGTAGTATATTTATTTTCACAATATTGATTTCTCCAGTCCAAGAACATGATGTATATCTCCATCTGTTTGCATCATTTTTGATTTGTTCATCAGCATCTTATAGTTCTCTGAGTACAGGTTTTTCTTTCTCATTAGGTATGTTTATTCCTAGGTATTTTATTATTTTTGTTTCAATGGTAGATAGTATTGTTTCCTTAATTGCTCTTTCTGATCTTTTGTTGTTAGTGTATAGCAGGAGATTTCTGTGCATTAATTTTGTATCATGCAGCTTTACTAAATTCATTGATTAGCTCAAGTAGTTTTATGGTGGCCTGTTTAAGATTTTCTGTGTATTAGTTCATATCATCTGCAAACAGTGACAATTGTACTTTTTCTTTTCCAATTTGGATTCCTTAATTTTCCTTCTCTGATTTCCTTAGCTAGGACTTCAAAACTACATTGAATAAAAGTGGTGAGGGTGGACATCCTTGTTTTATTCTTTATCTTAGAGGAAATGCTTTCAGTTTTTCATCATTTAGCATGATGTTTGCCTTAGGTTTGTCATATATGACCTCTAAATGAAAGTTAGTTTACAGTAGTCTTTTATTTATTTTCCCTCGCTGTGGGACTGTGAGCTTTTGCAAAACTATGCTTCCATAAAAAAGTAGACTTGCGTGTATTGTAAGCTACTTTATATGTCTTTCAAAAACATAAGTTTTAGGAAGTTAGATTGTTCAGTTCAGTTCAGTCGCTCAGTCGTGTCTGACTCTTTGTGACCCCACGAATCACAGCACACCAGGCCTCCCTGTCCATCACCAACTCCCGGAGTTTACTCAAACTCATGTCCATCGACTCGGTGATGCCATCCAGCCATGTCATCCTCTGTCGTCCCCTTCTCCTCCTGCCCCCAATCCCTCCCAGCATCAGGGTCTTTTCCAATGTGTCAGCTCTTCGTATGAGGTCACCAAAGTATTGGAGTTTCAGTTTCAGCTTCAGTCCTTCCAATGAACACCCAGGACTGATTTCCTTTAGGATGGACTCGTTGGATCTCCTTGCAGTCCAAGGGACTCTCAAGAGTTTTCTCCAACACCACAGTTCAAAAGCATCGATTTTTCAGTGCTCAGCTTTCTTCACAGTCCAACTCTCACATCCATATGTGACCACTGGAAAAACCTTAGCTTTGACTAGACAGACCTTTGTTGGCAAAGTAATGTATCTGCTTTTTAATATGCTATCTAGGTTGGTCATAACTTTCCTTCCAAGGAGTAAGCATCTTAAATTCATGTCTGTAGTCACCATCTGCAGTGATTTTGGAGCCCAAAAAAATAAAGTCTGACACTGATTCCACTGTTTCCCCATCTATTTCCCATGAAGTTATGGGACCAGATGCCATGATCTTAGTTTTCCAAATGTTGAGCTTTAAGCCAACTTTTTCACTCTCTTCTTTCACTTTCATCAAGTTAGATTGTTAGACAAGTTTAAATTTTGAATTCTTTTTACATGCATATTTTTATGTGAAAGCAAATTACTTTAGGTTTAATGAATACTTCCTAGGGATAGAGTAATTATTAATTTTGAAATCCTAGAATGTCATTAGTTATTTCTGCATGGTGACATTGTGATATTCTTTATGGTTATTTTACCAGTGAGAATCCAAGTCAGTTTTTGAAATCCAAAACTGGACAGCATTGTTCTTTGTGGATAGAACCTATGGCATTGCTGCTGTGTTGCTTGGTCTCATTCGATTCTGTATATGATCTCTCAAATTTAGATGGTATACAAAATTTGGTTAACAGGGTAGAATTTAGAATTTGGTTAATAGGTATCTGAAGCTTGTTGAAATTCCATTTAAGAAATTGTGAGTCTTCTGTTAAGGACTGTGACTATCATATTCTGCTTTAATAGTTTTTCAAGTGTTAATAAGTTTTTGTATCATTCTGCCATTTCTTCTAGAAATTATATAAAAGAGAAGTCCAGCCTCCCTTCAAACCTGCTTCTGGAAAATCAGATGATGCTTTTTGTTTTGATCCTGAATTTACTGCAAAAACACCTAAAGGTAATGCATGTTCATGTGTAAAATCAGGGCTTTTATTCATTTAGATGGTTAAAAAAATAAACTAGCTTCTTAGATTAAAAACTGAAAGAATTATAAGTTTGCAAAGGGTGATTTGTCCTGTGTAGAAGTGTAGATCTTATTTAGCATTGCTTGGACACCTTTCAAGTAGTGGCTTTATATGGTAAATGTTCATTAGGGAATCAGGGACTAGAGCAAATGGTGAACATTTTCTTTTTTAAAAATGTTTTTGACATGATAATGCATTAGAGAATGTGAGTAGGAAGTAAGATATGAGATATATCTCTCTAACTCTTATGATTCAGAAGTTAATGTGGTTTACTTTTATTGACATCTGTTTCATACATTCATTCAAGAAATATTGAATACTTACTGTGTAAATACTAAGCAGTGGTGATTCAGAAGTGAACTGAATAGACAAAAATCATAATCTACATGGAGCTTGCATACTAGTATTACTGTTGTTGTTCAGTCTCTCAGTCATGTCCGACTCTGCGACCCCATGGATTGCAGCCAGCCAGGCTTCCCTTTCTTTCACCATCTTCTGGAGCTTTCTCAAATTCATGTCCATTGATTGGGAAACAGATAATATACAATAAATCAAATATATAATATAGTATGTCTGATGGTAACATTTAATGATTTCTTTTATACTCAAAGAAATGTTGGCATTTCATATCATAAAACTGTTAATTCTAATTAAATTTAATTATTTGGACATTAGATTCTCCTGGTTTGCCAGCCAGTGCTAATGCTCATCAACTCTTCAAAGGATTCAGCTTTGTTGCAACTTCTATTGCAGAAGAATATAAAATCACTCCTATCACCAGTGCAAATGTGTTACCAATTGTTCAGGTAAATTTCACGTAGATTATTCAGACTAGGGATAATTATTTCTTCCTGATATTGCTGATTGATTTACAGTGATTTTTAACTTCTTCATTTATCTATGTATGATGAATTAAAGATCTTTCCATGTTCTTGGAAAAAAGCAGACAGTATTAACTTTTAATTATGTATTTATGTGATGTCTTTTGGCAAGAAAATGTAATGGGTGATACATTAGCTAGTTGATTTATCATAGAGGCTTTGACAATCTAGAAAACCTTCAGAATCTGTATGCTCAAATCACCTAGAATCTGTGTAAGCCATTTATAAATACTGATAAAATTTTTGTAGACTTATTCTTCATTTTTTAAAGATTTAAAATGAGCATATACTTAGGAAAAAAGACAAAAAATGTGAAACCATATTGCTGGTTGTATTTTACTTTTTAACAAAAACAGATAAATGGAAATGCTGCACAGTTTGGTGAAGTGTATGAATTGAAAGAGGATATTGGTATTGGCTCCTATTCTGTTTGCAAGCGATGCATACACACCACTACCAACATGGAATTTGCAGTGAAGGTATTGTCTCTGAGGCTAACGTTTTTTTTGTTTGTTTTAATATGTGTAAGTTAAATTGCAGACTTTTTTTTGTTTGTTTTAATATGTGTAAGTTAAATTGCAGACTGACAATTTTTCAGTGGACCAAATGGAGAAAGCAAAGATAAAATGATGAAGTAAAACTCTTGACTTAATATTTTCATTTTGAATTTCTTACCAAGACTTTAGTTTGTTCAGTAAAAAAAGATATTATTTTGGAGAAGCAATATGTTTTTTGAATGTCTTGCTTTTGAATAATTTTATTGTAACATAGTATTCTAAGATTGAGTGATTGTGACAATTACTATCATATTTGGATCAAATTATCAGTTTGTATATTTTCAGTTAGATGGAATATAATGTTGAGGAAAGTACTATGTTGCTTTTTATTAAGTTTCAATTATAGGAAATTTTTAAATATTAAAATAATGTGAGGTAAGCATCACTCTTGAGTTTTATTATTTGCTTGAAAATACAACCAAATTGAAATCATGTCATTCATTTTTAGACAAAGAAAATAATTTTCCTCTGTGATCTTTCTTGTTTTTTAGATCATTGACAAAATTAAGAGAGATCCTTCAGAAGAAATTGAAATTTTAATGCGCTATGGACAACACCCCAACATTATCACTTTAAAGGATGTAGGTATTTAAAAATCTATGTATCTGCTAAGCTAATGAAGTTATGACTTGGCACTTTGTTTTCCTATTGAACTTTCCATATCCATGGTATCTTTACTTTCATGCCATAAAATATTAAGACTCAAATTTGGCACTTCAGTTCTTTCATCCCTGTGATTCTGCACTCTTACCCTCCTTGTAGAATATCAGAAAGGAACTATGATGGTTGGCAAATGAGAGTGTACTGATTACTTAAATATATTCTAGCTGGTTAACTAGTTGATGACATCACCAGCAACATTTATTATTCTCTAGTACTTCAAATAAACAAGATAGAAGAGATTCGGAATCTGCCAAATTCTAGGAGATTTTATTTCCTTGATTGTACAGCAGTTGGCTGTAGCACTGTGGATGGTTGCTTGGGTGAAATATTATTCTGTAGATTTTCTAAAGTGAACTAATATTAATAGATGTTACTGAATGCTGACAAACCATCTCCTTCATCAGTTTGTTTCAGATAATATGATATACATTTTGATTTGTAATCCTTAAATAGTACTTTATACATATATAAATATATGTTATGTGTGTATATAGATAGATATATGTCTACATGTATGTGTTTATTTGTGTAAATGTAGATATCACGTGCCTTGAGTAAAACAGTATACATATTTATTATTTCTCCTTGATACAACATTTGAATTCAACAAATATTTAAGTTGCCAGGTCAGATAGTAGAATGTGAGAAGGATATTAAAAAACAACATATTTACTGCCAGAAGGAAGCTTGCCATTATTAAGGAAGGAAAGTGGCTATAATACAGTCGGAAATGTCATAGGTGCTATTTGAGAGTCACAGAGTTCTGTTTTTCCACTTATACACCTTGATGAAGTATAACAGATATCTTCAAAAGTTAATAAAATTATATGTTTCACATGGTCTCACAGAATGGTGTTGAGTCTGTTTAGCCAGTTTAATTTTCAGTAGAGTCTGTACTATATTAATACTAAAGGAATAGTGTATTTTTAACACTAGAGGTTCATTCGAAAATCAAAGTAAATATAATTGAAAACTTTTCAGAATTATAAACAATAACACTTTAAAAATATGTTCTATTTTTAGGTTTATGATGATGGTAGATATGTTTACCTTGTTACGGATTTGATGAAAGGAGGAGAGCTACTTGACCGTATTCTCAAACAAAAATGTTTTTCAGAACGGGAAGCTAGGGATGTACTGTTTATAATAACTAAGACAGTTGACTATCTTCATTGTCAAGGAGTAAGTTGTAGTTATATTCTTCCTTTTAATTCTGGGACTTATATCTTCATAAAATTATATATAGAAGATGATACCTAAAATGAATTACTTTTTCTATCACATATTTTTGTATGGAATAGCCTAATAAAATTCATTATGTAGTGAAGGTTATAAGTTTAGGAAATTAGGTAATATCTTATTATAAATTTTCTTCTCTCTACCTGTTAGCACCAATTTAATAGCATATTATTTTTAAAGTGGTTTGAATTATATAAATATCTATCCTTGACTTTTAATTCACTAAGCCTCATCTGACTTGAAAGTTAAACACAGACAAATTATCAAATTATAATATGGCTAGCAGATAAAGTTCTGGCAGAACTGTTTATTTTGATTGTTAGCAACCCCTCCCCCAATACAGTAAGAAATTTTGATTCTAAACACTTGAAGTATTAATACATTAGAATTTCTATTGGAAGTGCAGGTCTGTTATTTTGTTTCCTATATCTTCATAGAGCAAATTGATTGGATTACCAAAAAAGGTCACTTCTATTATATATATAGCTACCCAAGGAAACAATGTCACAAAGAATTTAAAATTTTAAGTTTGTATCCATTGTAGTAGTGGACGCATACCCACTTAAGTATAAACTAAAAAAAATGTGCAACTCAGAATTGGCTTAGTGAAAATTCTACATGGGCCAGTATTCATTTTTCGCTATGGTTTTATAGAGTACATTTTCAACACTTTGAAATATAAATTGTATAATACTAAAGCAGTAGTTCTGTAATAATTTAATTATTTGACTGTCTTTATCAACATTCTCTAAAATAAAGGATGACCATAATTTTTGAGAAGAAAATGATAAACATCTTTTATTTTAGAAATAAATTAATGCATCAATTAAATAAATTAATGACAGACATTTATTGAGCATTTCTACATGCCAGACAATGCAAAAGGTGTTGCAGATTCAACTATGAGTTTAAGTCTTGATCCTTGTCTCGAAAGAGTTTTTAATGTAGTAAATAGCTGATTATTCTGTGGGAGAAGGTGACGGTGGGGTGTTTTGAGAGAACAGCATCGAAACATGTATATTATCAAGGGTGAAACAGATCACCAGCCCAGGCTGGATGCATGAGACAAATGCTCGGGGCTGGTGCACTGGGAAGACCCAGAGGGATGGAGGAGGGAGGGAGGTGGGAGGGGGATCGGGATGGGGAATACATGTAAATCCATGGCTGATTCATGTCAATGTATGGCAAAAACCACTACAATATTGTAAAGTAATTAGCCTCCAACCAATAAAAATAAATGGAAAAAAATAGCTGATTAAATATAGGATTAATTTAAATGAAGTGGATAGTATCAGTAGAAAAATCACCCCATAAAGAATTTCGGAATATGTTATTTATGTGTGTCTAGCATTTTATTTAGTTCTTATTATTTCTATTTTTCTGCTCACTTTTCATGCATTGAAAGCATGTTTTTTTTTACTTTATTGAAGATAGTTTTAATAGTGACTTTGTTTTTTAAATTTCTTTAGTATTTAGTCTTCTCAATTTTGAACAGTACATTTTGTTGAGCTATAACTGACATATAACATTGTGTAAGTTTAAGGTATACATGTTGATTTGAGACATGTATATACTACAATATGATTACCATCATAGCATTAGCTAGCATTCTATCATATCACATATAATAATAGCCACTTTAAGACACTTGCTGTTAAGCCTAACATGATTTATCTTGGAGTTGGAATAGATGTTCTTTTTTCTTGAAACTGTGTCCTTTTTTTTTTAGGAGAGTGTTCTTCATATATCAGAAAATTTTGGATTGTGTACTGCACACTTGAATATTAACTTGTGGAGATTTGTTATACTGTGTTATTTTTTTCTCCAATGATTATTTTAGTTTTCTTTTGTTTTCAGTGGGTAATTTTCTTAGGGTTTGCACTGAAAGCTCTGCTTTTTCAGCAGCAGCTGTGGTTTCTGTTTATATCTTTTGTCATTTGAGCTCCCTTTACACATTTTTGATTCAAGGGTCTGTTTTGGCTCTTTCCCTTACTGTATTCCTCCACTCAGCATTCACAGTTTCTCAGTATTTCTTTTCTGGTGCTCCAGGCCAGAAAGATCGTGGGCTTTTCTGCATCCCTTCACTACCACTGTGTGCCATAGGAACTGTACTTAGCTTTCTGCTAAAAGCCACATATATGGGAACCTACTCATGCAACTCCCTCCTTCAGCCAAGTATGTACTCCGCACCAGAATCTTATCTCCTTTTGCTCATTCTCCAATATCTTCAAGGTAGTTTTTTTTTTCTTCTTTTAACTCAGGTTTCATATTTGGTTACCATAGTGAGGAAGTTTGAATAGGGTCTTAGTTCATTATCTCTACAAGTGGAATTGAGAATTCACCTTTGAGATTGGAAATGATTAAAAAAAAACTGGTGGCCTGATAAAAACTGGCACATCTATCTAATAGGGATAATTCACCTATATACTTCAGGTTGTCAAGGCTATCAAGGTTGGAGAAAGTGTCATTTTCAAAATTTCATGATTGAAACGGTTCTTTTTCCTGGAAATATATTAACTTATAATAGATAGTTAGCTATAGAAATGTCATCCTTTTTTTTTTTAATGCTCAAGGTTGTTCATCGTGATCTTAAACCTAGTAATATTTTATACATGGATGAATCAGCCAATGCAGACTCCATTAGAATCTGTGATTTTGGGTTTGCAAAACAACTTCGAGGAGAAAATGGACTTCTCTTAACTCCATGCTACACTGCAAACTTTGTAGCACCTGAGGTATTCTTTAAAATTTCAATATTTGCCTTTAATTCTTTTCCTTTAGTTGACTGTATTTGATGTCTTATATGTCAGCTTTATGTTAGGTAGTAAAAGCCAAGTGATCTTGCCCTTTGTGTTAGTCACTCAATCGTGTCCAACTCTGTGACCCCATGTACTGTAGCCCGCTAGGCTCCTCTGTCCATGGAATTCTGCAGGCAGGAATACTGGAGTGGGTTGCCATTTCCTCCTCAAGGGGATCTTCCCAACCCAGGTATATAACCCAAGTCTCCTGCATTGCAGGCAGCTTCTTTATTGTCTGAGCCACCAGGAAGCCCTTTCCCAACTATAAAGCTCTTTAAATCATTGAATTCTGATAATGCCCAATATAAATAGACTAATAACTAGCATCTGCAACCAACCTGAATATAATAATCACATTGTTCTATTCTTTTCGGTTTTATAGTGGTTTCAGAATCATACCATTTTAGAACTGGCCAGAGAGTAGAGGTAACTCTACCTTCAACATATTAAATATTCAAGACCCAGCATTCACAAAGTCAGGATAGGTTTTCAGATATTTTGGTTTGTGCTGAACATGAGGTGATTTATATTGTTTAGCATTATACATAACATAGGCAATGCCATCCCTGATTGTCTGTAAGAAACCTCTAATTCGTGAAGAAAACAGCTTTACAGGGATTTTTATAAACAGTGAGGTTTTTCTTGGCAGATGACATTCATATGTAGATCTTAAAGAGTAGAGTCCAGAAAGATGATGCTGAGGAAGTCAAGGGGTTCATGTTTAACATTTGGCAAGCTCCAGCAGTCTTGTCAGTTCTGGTAATGGGGATGGAAGCTTTGATGGTAACAGTTCCCACAGCAGTAAAAGTTATGATTGACTAAAAAATGAATCAGGGATGGCTTTGATTATATAGATTCTTTATAAGTTTTGTTCGTAAAAGTCAATAATTATTCTTAAATGTTACAAACAATGCTCACTCATGAATTATCATATGTTTAACATAAATCCAAGTACACAGATATCCTCAGATTTGAAAAATAGTATTTTTCAAGTCAGAGGAAGAATAAAATAATTTGAGAATGAATTCTTACCTCATGTGCATATTTTTATATTTTGTACACTAAATACTATCTCTTCTGGAAAATATTTCACATCAGATATAAAATATTTTAATATTTTTTATATTTCTATAAAAATATAAACATATTTCTTATATTTAAATATCATTAAGTCTAGAAAAATAATATTTCTAGTGATGAAAATAAAAATGTAGAAAGTGGGAAAGTAACTTTCTAATAATGAGAAACCCCCATGTTAAAATTTATTTAATCTTCCTTTAAGATGTTAATGTTGAGGAAGAAACATAACACCTGCTTTATAGGGTTTTTATGATAAGACTTGCCCTATAAGAAATTATGTATATATCCAGAGGATGTGCTTTAATCTGCATTTTAACTGTATTAATAGATGGTTGAGATGCATGCATGATCCAAGAAGGGGTTATTGTATGTATGTCAGGTATAAGGGATATAACTTAGACATAAAAAAATAGCTTTTCTAGGACATTTTAATATTTTTATAGAATAGAAATATTGGATATTTAGGATAAGGCTCTTGTATAAAATATAGAGTATATATTCATAAATGTTCTAGTATATTTATGCAGTAGACTTAACAGAAGAGTATAGAGTAACCATTTTAATAGCTGATTTTTTTAATATTCACTTAACCTTGTGGACCTAGTTTCCTTGGTATAATGGGTACTTTTCCCTGGAAAAAGTTAAAAGTGAATGTGTCCCAAATAAAGATCTTAAAAACAGACAGTAAAATTAAAAATATACATGTTTATATTTAGATTAATGGTTAGGTAAACATTTTCAAGTGAGTGCAAGTCTGCGAAGTAGGATATAGCTCACTGATGCTTTTTATCCTAATAGACTTCCATTGTAGTTAGATGCTTTCAGCATTGTAATAGTGAAGGTTTTCAGGTAGGCAAGTAGAGACCACTTCTCTATAACTAATGCCTCTAATGTCTGAACTTCCTTTGGTTAGGATAGTATTTGTATTTTCAAAATGCTTTGGAAAGTTTTATTATCAAGTGCTGAGGTCTCTGCCAGCAATGAATGCGTATTTACTATAAATAAAAAGAGATTTGGCATAAATTTTGTTTCTTAAATTTCAGACTTATAAAAAGTTATTAGTGAATGGTATGAAATGTGTTATCTTTTATTTTTATTTATTTTTTTAAATGTGTTATCTTTTAAACTAGAATCAGAAAGATTCAAGTGTCCGTGTAGATATTTGAATAAATAATAGCATTTGTGCATGCGCTTAGTCATGTCCAACTCCTTGTGACCACATGGACTGTAGCCAGACAGGCTCCATGAGATTTCCCATACAAGAATACTGGAGTGAGTTACCATTTTATCCTCCAGGGGATCTTCCTGACTCAGGGATTGAAGTCTCCTGGGCCTTCTGCATTGACAGGTGGATTCTTTACTACTGATCCATGTGGGAAGCTCAATAATAGCATTTATGAGAATATAAATTCATTCTTTCATCACAGTGCACAAAAAGCCCTTACTTGCTAGGAGAGAAACAAATTAGTAGTATGATTTCAGCTTAACAATAAGTAAGGAATAATTCATTCCTTTTTTGATATGCATCAATTTGGTCACCCTCTTAAGACTTACTTACTTAATAGATGTACTTTTCTATTAAGGCCATTTCACAAAAATTAATATATCTCAAAAGTAGTTTAATCTTTTTTAAAAAGCAAATCTATCTTATTATTCAACTGATACTTACTGCCTACTGAGGTCTAAGAATGATCCTGAACTTAAGGAATTTACAATATATTGGATGGATGCTGTGCCTGCAACTCTTTTACAAAGTAAATGTGAGGGACTTCCCTGGTGGTCCAGTAGTTAAGGCTCCATGCTCCCCAGTGCAGGGGGCATGGGTCAGGGAATTAGATCCCTCATACTGCAACCAAAAGCCTGCATGCTGCAATGAAGATCCCACACGCTACAACCAAGACCCAGCACAGCCAGAAAAAAAAAAAAAAGTCAATGTGAAATTACTCTGCCCTGCTCTGGCTTTGGGCTTTCATCTATTTTGCTACAAATATGAATTAATTTGAACTTCAGAGCAAAGGGAATGAGAATCTCTGTTACATTTTACTGATTTGGGAAGCCAAATGAGAGAGAAGGTAACGTTATTAACTACTTTAATTCTGACTTCCATCTTCTTTTATGTTAACTTTATGCAAATAAGGTGTGAAACACGTTACTTTTTACCGGTACTCTCATTCATGGGCTTCCCAGGTGGCTCTAGTGGTAAAGAACCTGCCTGCCAATGCTGGAGACATAAGAGATCTGGGTTCGATCCCTGGGTTGGGAAGGTCCCCTGGAGAAGGGCATGGCAACCCACTCTAGTATTATTGCCTGGAGAATCTAGTGGACAGAGGAGCCTGGTGGACTATGGTCCATAGGGCCGCACAGAGTCGGACAGGACTGAAGCGACTTAGCACTTTCATTCATCTCGCCACAATGTCTTGTTTTTTTTTATGGCTGTATATTATTACTATAGGACTTCGAGACCTGCTCTAGAACAAAAGTAGACCTCTTCTTTACTCAGAAAAACTGGGTTTGTGTGTGGTAAAGCTGAAACAGGTTTTTCATGGTTGGCCCTAATTACATTAAGCAACATGACACCTCCAGTGCCTTTCTTATTAACCTGGAAGGATATGGGAGCATGCAATATTTATTGCTGACTCACTGTTTAAACTTTGCCTGTACAACAAGTTCCTAAGCAGTCCCTCAACCTTGGTTGTGCACTGGATCATCTTGGAACCTTTAAAAATACTGTCCTAAGGGAACCAGAGAAAACATGGTGGTGTCCAGGACTGCGAGAAGTCATGAGAAGAGGAAAGATAGAAGGGGAATAAAGCAAGAGAGGTTTATGTTTTACTAGAGGATGCCAGGTTAGGCTTATCGTGATGTGAATTGTTTTAGCTCTACCTTATTATTTGTTAGGGCCTTTGTAGTCTCCACTTGTGTTATTTATATTAGCCAGTTATATAGGTATTTTGATAAACTCTTCAGCTTCTCAAGTTTGCATGTATGTGTGTTCTTATATACTTTGACTATGGAAAAAACCATTATACCTTGAATTTTAAGGTAGATATTTATTATTCATGTTTGGCCATTGTCATAGCCAAGTATTAATATTTTTAGACTTTTATAAATGAAATGTCCATTCTGGTGATTATGCAGTCCCCAGTATTAATGGATTAATAATGTTTCTATTTTGTTTCTATGTACAAAGGCTGTATCATTGGATTTATTTTTCTAAATTTAATAAAAAGGGCTCATTTCACCTCAGAATAGCTATTAAATTCACAGGGAAAATTCACATGAATATGTAATGAATATGTTATTTATTTAACATTTATTTAATGCTAGCCTCAAGAGAAAAAAGAGCTACCTAATTTATTATATAAAAAATTAATGAAACCATTCAGAATTTATCAAATGTGTGTTTCTGATCCAGAAATATACTAATTTTTAAAGACATGAGTCTTTTTTGTAAAATATAAATTCATCTTGCTTTCATAAGATTATATATGATCTTACCATCTCCTGTGCAATAGAGAAGCAATTATCATAGATGTTAAAGGCACAGGCTCTAGAGTGAGTGCTCTACCACTCATTAGGTTTGTGATATCAGGTAAATTACTTAACATTTTCCCCAGTTTTCTCATCTTCAAAATGGAAATAATATCTATCTCATAGAGTCAGTGTCAGGGTTAAAATTCAGCATTCTGTGTAGAGTATATGAAGCTCTCTGTACATGTTGTTTTAAATTTTGATGTGTCTGACTTTCCTAAGAGATGGAGTGAAGGTTCATTGAGGTCAGGGATCATATCTTAAAAAAGGATTTTTTTTTATCATTCATATTGCTTAATTACCTTATTAATAGTCACTTATTGAATGTTTGTTAATTGCAGAAAACTTTGCCTTTAAGTTAATTTTGAAAAGATAAAAATGAGCTAAGTTATTAAATTGTGAGTATTTGTGAGATTATTAGAAACACAGCTTTTTTTTAGATGACAAAACTGAGTTATACTGAGTAGTACCAGATAATGAGTATTTCCTTTCTCAGGTTCTTATGCAACAAGGCTATGATGCTGCTTGTGATATTTGGAGTCTGGGAGTCCTTTTTTATACAATGTTGGCTGGGTAAGGAATTTATATATTCAAATTAATTCACATTATTATTTCAATTTCACTTGTATATTTTCATCTAGAAAGAGGACAGATGAAAATTACCTTAAGGAAAATGCTATCAACATTCTAAAATATTATATATTGAATACTTATAAAATTTAAAAAAACATGGTATTTAATGAGGCATTATTTAGGCACATAGTTAAAAGATTGTTCAACTGGGACTAAAACTTCTAAAAATAAAGCACATTCTTATTTTGATATTTTAAGTTTAAGTGTTTTACATTTTCAAAATGTTTACCTTAGCATAAAATCATTTCCCAATTCAAGAGATGCTTACCCACTGAACTTGCTGATGTTATTTTTTTTAAGTACTTGAATTTTGGTTCTCTTGGCAATAGAGATTCAGTGTGATTGAGCTTTATAACAAAGCTGCATAAAATAGTAGCAATATTAAAATACAGAAACACATGCAGATGTGTTAAAAGAATAAAGAAATAGTAAAAAATGTAGCCATTGGATTTTGTTGAAGACTGTTAGTTTAAAAATAATACAAGTGCTATTTTACTCTTAATAATAAGTAGCACTTTTATTTAGAAGTAAAAATTTATAACTGTAGATAAAGGCTAGGTTTAGCAAAGTCTAATGCATAAAATATAATTTGAAGATTTTAACGTAATCATAATGTCCTTAGGTATGACTTTTTTAAAAAGGCTGTGCTGATGTGCTCAGTTGTGGCTGACCCTTGGACTTTAGCCCACCAGGTTCCTTGGTCCATGGAGTTTTGAAGGCAAGAATACTGGAGTGGGTTGCCATTTCCTTCTCCAGCTTTTAAAACGCATTTAGTATAATTAAATATAAAGATTGAGGGCAGGAGGAGAAGGGGATGACAAAGGATGTGATGGTTGGATGGCATCACCGACTCGATGGACATGAATTTGGGTAAACTCCAGGAGCTGGTGATGGCCAGGGAGGCCTGGCGTGCTGTGGTCCATGGGGTTGCAAAGAGTCGGACACACTGGACGACTGAACTGAACTGAACTGATAATTAAATATGCTTGCCATAGCAGGAGATTTATAAAGATAAGTTATGAAAATAGTGACTCCAAGTTATTTATTGGCTTGATCATAATCACATATGTCAGTATATTCCACGTATGTGCAAAATATTTAGTTACAGACCACAGCAAGTGCTAAAGTTAAGAGTAGCTAATGTTTGCATGTGAACAGCAGTCAGCAGTATTGGTTTCAAACCATTGGATACCATTTCCAGATGGCTACTTTCAAATCTTTATTTTATGACTAAACAAAGCATTTTGTGTGTGTGTGCATAGGTATGTGTGTTTAGTGTTATCTCAACTATGAGGGAATTAACATATTAAGTCATCTTTCTCATATTTTTTAGCCATGAATCTTTCTATTCCCAAATCTGAATACCATTTTTAAAATGATACCATTTGTTAAAATGATACAAAAGTGACCACTTTTTGTCATTCTATAATAATTTTCTAAACCACTTTAACTTCATACAATGTATTTGTTTTCCTATCTATGACTGTTGATCCATGTAATAATTTTAATGGCTATAAAGGATTTTTGGTATATTGATATATTTAACCAATTTTTCATAGATATTAATTAAAAATACTGTTACTTTGTTTTCACTGATAATGATAAATTTGAGCCAATTCAATAAATATATAAAATTACTTTCTTCATAGTAGGTATATTTGGTTTCCTAACTTATGCCTGGGAATATAAAATTTGTGTTGATTTTCAGAATGCATTTACATATAACTACCTTTATTTTATTTTACATTGATTCACAGATCAAAGGTAAAAAAAATAGATTGATGTAGGCAAGACTCTTCATTTCATTATATAATTCATTAAGTTCATTGTTTGAAATGTAAAATTTTATATGAACAGTAAAGGGAAATTTTTAGGTGATATTCTTAATTTGCTATAGTAAATATATGCTTGTAGTTCTATACTCATCACTTTCAATTAGATTTAATATGTATGTTAGGCCCTCATGTGTATTTAAATCTTTTTTATTAATAGCTACACTCCCTTTGCTAATGGGCCCAATGATACTCCTGAAGAGATATTGCTGCGTATAGGTAATGGAAAGTTCTCTTTGAGTGGTGGAAACTGGGACAGTATTTCAGATGGAGCAAAGGTATAAATTATAAATATGTTTTGTTTTGTTGAACTGTTAATTGCCAAAATCTTTTAAGTTTATAGCCTAGTCTGCATTTGCAGAGTATCAGATGGTGTTTAATGTCAGTATTTGTTTTTAAATCATGATATTTATTTTTAAATCAACTCACATATATGTGTGAATTGAAGAAGACAATAAAGGCTGACTTTTTGCCATGCTTCTGGGATACATTTCTCTATTATCAATTCATATGTGATCAGGAAATATAAACCAGTTTCAGTGTTAACCAAAAGCAAAAATGTAAATCTACTGAGGAAAAATACATAAGGCCAACTAAATTTGATTTCTGCATTTAGTGCGTTTTTACACATCATATCTTCTTTAGCACAGACATTGACTACTCATTATATAGGCGATTTTTTTAATGTTAACTTATTCTTAGAACATATACAAAGTTTTTATCAGTTGCACCTAGATATTTGCAATTGATGGCTAAAACTGTTCAGTAGAAGTGTAGTGCAAGCCACATATGTAATTTTAAAATTTCTAGTAGTCATGTTAAAAAGTAAAAAGCAGCAGATGAAATTAATGTTAATAATATATTTTATCTAATGTGATATATCCAAAATATTTCATTTCAAAATTTTAAAAGTTAGTGAGATTTTGAATTCTATTTTTGTACTTCATTTTCAAATTCTGGTGTGTATTTTATACTTATAGCCCATCTGAATTTGGACTTACCTACATTTTAAAAGTGCTTAATAGCCATATGTACCTACTGGCTACTGTTATTAGTAAAGTTTCAGAGTAACTGGCCTTATAATTTAGGGAAAAAATAATAGATCATGGCTTGATTACTAATTCTAACATTTATATCTAAAATTTTTAAGTTTTAAAACAAAACCCCAAAGTTATCAGGATGTGTTTTATTGGGCCCTGACACTTTTAAGCTACATTTTGAATTAGAAAACATTTTAAGACAGAAGGATTTGCTTGTATTTAATATCTGCTAATAATAAAACCTAATTATTTAAGGACATTAGTTAATCTATAGAATATATTATGGATTAAATCTTGTATCCTGATTATTGTAGAATAAGTAAATCAGGGATTTGGTTATTGTTACCTTTTAAACATTAGAAAAACAGAAATGGGATTGTGTTCACATCTTAGCCATAACATACATGTACCATGTGCTATAGTAAAAGGAACACCTGATTGGAAGCCAAGAAAGCTGAACGCTAGTTTTGATCTACTAACTAGCTTCCTCATTTTTGTCATCTGCAAAATTTGGGAATTAAGTTCTCCCTTGGTTCCTTTCAACTCCAAAATTTCATTTGTCAGGTTTTCGTTTATAAAGTGATTGAATCTACTAACTATTCATTAGATACATGTATTTTCTAGTCAGCCAGTTTGTGTGTCAGAAAGTACATTTTCCTAAGGAACAATTTGAATGTTTAAAGCTATACACATGAACCTCTTGTGCTCTTTAAAAAACAAACAAACAACAACAACAACAAACTAGGTTGGAACTTCCCTGGTGTCCAGTGGTTAAGACTCTGCACTTTCACTGCAGGGGGAGTAGGTTCCATCCCTAGTTGGGAAACAAATCCCACATGCCACACAGTATGGCCAAAAAATGAAAAACAAAAAAACTAAAAACAGTAATGCTAATGTTGTACTTAGATTTTGGCTTTTCTATGTTTTGTGTGCTTTATGTTTTCATCTGTCTAGTGCCTAAGGAATAATACATATTAAAATTCAATTTCATTCTCACCACTTTTAGTCAGATATTCTGGAGAAATTAACATAGAAAAAAATGTTGGGGGATATTGTCAAAATATTTCACAAGGCCTTTCATGTATTCCATTTTATGGATTAAATTGCTTTAGTTCTGTCTTTGGATTTTTTCTGAAAATGGTGGCATATTACTGAGCAAATGAGCTGTATGAACTTTAAAGAATCTGTACATTTTAACAATTCATTAATTTTCTTTTTTTGTAAACTTTTTATTTTGTATTGAAGTATAGCCAATTAGCAATGTTATAATAGTTTCAGGTGAACAGTGAAGGGATTCAGTCATACATATACATGTGTCCATTCTCTTGCAAACTCTCCTCCCATCCAGGATGCCATATAACATTGATCAGAGTTCCATGTGCTATATAGTAGGACCTTGTTGGTTATCCATTTTAAATATACTTTACCTAATACGTTTTTTTCTGTTTTAAATTAGTGATGAAGTTAAGCTATTGTTCAGTTACTCATCATGCCTTACACTGCTACCCTTAAGGTGGGAAAATTGTAACATTTACTGTTACCTCATGACAATTATTTTACTTAATTATAGTTCCTTGCAAGTTATTTTTCCCTTTCCAATGGTTTTATTGACGTTGGTGAGTACCACTACCAGAAGCATATAAAAGATGATTGTTTGCCTCCCGTCCATGCATAGTTCCTAGACTTTGTTCATTGAGTTAAAGGAAAGTAGAAGTGGGGTGGCGGTGATAGTGGAAGTCATGTTAGCTTTGTATGTCTTATTGCTACAATAGTTTAAGCTTTGAGAACATTAACATAGCTGCTTCCCTTTTTTTAAACAGTGGGGACAAAGAAGAATCATTTAAACAAAAAAGTAGAAGAGGCAAGAGAGTAATAAAATTTTCATGGTGTCACTATATATTAAAAATAAACACAATAATACCTGATTAATTATAAGGAATTTCTATCTATATTTTATAATACTTGAAATAGATAAAATGTTACTTATTTCAAGTGCATATACCCTTGACTAAAAAAGAATTTCTCAGTAGAAGTTCTTGTAGGTTAATTCATGGCTTCCTCCCTTGCCTCCTTAAAAAGAGCAGCTTCCATTTTTCCTTAACTGTGTTCCTATTACTGTATTTTGTGTACTTGATTGGAGTATTAGTATTAATCACATTCTCCCTGGCTATAAATTCATTTGAATATTTTTATTTTTCCCACTCAGGGAGCTTTATTTATTTATTTTTTTATTAGTTTTGGGTTTTTTTTTGGGGGGGGGTATATTCCATGCAAGTCCCTGAGTTTTCTTGCTCCATATTTTGAATATGGCAAATACTAATTTCTTACATTTCAGCCTATGCTAGCATTGAACATCATGTTTTTGCATGGGTCTTCACTTTCTTTTTTGGTTGGATTGAGATTACAGCATACATTTCTTTTTTTTTTTTCAAATGTGATTGAAATTTTATTTATTTTTTTCCCATTTATTTTTATAAGTTGGAGGCTAATTCCTTTACAATATTGTAATGGATTTTGCCATACATTGACATGAATCAGCCATGGATTTACATGTATTCCCCATCCCGATCCCCCCTCCCACCTCCCTCCACACCCGATCCCTCTGGGTCTTCCCAGTGCACCAGACCCAAGCACTTGTCTCACGCATCCAACCTGGGCTGGTGATCTGTTTCACCCTTGATAATATACATGTTTCGATGCTGTTCTCTTGAAACATCCCACCCTCGCCTTCTCCCACAGAGTCCAAAAGTCTGTTCTGTACATCTGTATCTCTTTTTCTGTTTTGCATATAGGATTATCATTACCGTCTTTCTAAATTCCATATATGTGTGTTAGTATATTGTATTGGTCTTTATCTTTCTGGCTTACTTCACTCTGTATAATGGGCTCCAGTTTCATCCATCGCATTAGAACTTATTCAAATGAATTCTTTTTAATGGCTGAGTAATATTCCATGGTGTATATGTACCACAACTTCCTCATCCATTCATCTGCTGATGGGCATCTAGGTTGCTTCCATGTCCTGGCTATTATAAACAGTGCTGCGATGAACATTGGGGTGCACGTGTCTCTTTCATTTCTGGTTTCCTCAGTGTGTATGCCCAGAAGTGGGATTGCTGGGTCATATGGCAGTTCTAGTTCCAGTTTTTTAAGAAATCTCCACACTGTTCTCCATAGTGGCTGTACTAGTTTGCATCCCCACCAGCAGTGTAAGAGGGTTCCCTTTTCTCCACACCCTCTCCAGCATTTATTGCTTGTAGACTTTTGGATAGCAGCCATCCTAACTGGTATATAATTGTACCTCATTGTGGTTTTGATTTGCATTTCTCTGATAATGAGTGTTGTTGAGCATCCCTATTTTTCCCACTCAGGGATCTTTAAATGTCATGTTATTTTTGCATTGCCTAGCATAGTAAATACTTAATTGAATACTCTTTTCACAAGCTGCTTAATCTTTCTTCAGATATACCTTCCATTGTTAATTTACACTGTAAGATTCTTTTGTCTAATATATAAATATGAATTATTATTGTGAATGGCTGTAAATTTGAAATAAGTAGTCTGGTTTTATGTAAATATTTCTTTTCTGTTTTGGTTTGAAGTTGCTTTTAAGTGAAGTGTTTTGTTCATGTGTTGATAAGTCATAGATTTCTAGAGCTAGATGGGATCATTTTGCATATTGATAAACAAACATGTGCAGAATTTATCTTTTCCATAGTCATACACTGAGTGCATAGCTGGTATTGATTTTCAGTCCAATACTCTTTTCAGTCTACCACATACTAGGGAAGATTTCCTGGAGGAAGAAAGACTTAAATGGCTTAGCTTCTGTGGATGGAATGGGGAAAAAAGAGGTTTATAACCCTTTAATAATAGAAGGCTCAGAAGAGAGGTGTTATTTTTCACACACTTCTGTTCTTAGAAATACATGTAAATCCATGGCTGATTCATGTCAATATATGGCAAAAACCACTGCAATATTGTAAAGTAATTAGCCTCCAACTAATAAAATTAAATGAAAAAAAAGAAATATTAGAAATTAAGTATGCCAAAACTTATTACTTATTATTATTATTATTATTGCTTTCTGCTAAAACACTATATTGAAATATAAGACTGGACACTATAAAACTCCTAGAGGAAAACCTAGGCAGAACACTCTTTGACATAAATTCCAACAAAATCTTTTTTTGATCCACCTCCTGGGGTAATAAAAATAAATAAATGGGATCTATTTA